GGGTGGGTTGCTTGGAGTTTGAAACCAGCCTGAGCTAGAGTGAGACACTCCTCCTGCCTTACCCCCATCTCTAAAAAATAGCCAGGTGTTGTGACGGGCACCTGTAGTCCTCAGTTACTTGGGAGGCTAAGGCAAGAGGATCACTTGAGCCCAAGAGTTTGAGGTTGCTGTGAGCTGTGGCACCATGGCACTCTACCACGGGTGACAGAGTGAGACTCTGTCTCAAAAAATAAAAAAAATAAAAAAAATAAAAATAGGTGGCGCCTGTGGCTCAGTGGGTAGGGCGCCAGTCCCATATACTAAGAGTGGCGGGTTCAAACCCGGCCCAGACAAACTGCAACAAAATAATAGCTGGGCATTGTGGCGGGCACCTGTAGTCCCAGCTACTTGGGAGGCTGAGGCAAGAGAATTGCCTAAGCCCAGGAGTTGGAGATTGCTGTGAGCTGTGATGCCACAGCACTCTCCCGAGGGCGACAAAGTGAGACTCTGTCTCTAAAAAATATAAATAAATAAATCCATAAATAAATAGTAAACATGACTTTGCAGCTATAATACAAAAACCCAGGAAGAGAAAATATAAGGAATGAGATTTCTAACTAGAAAAGAAGACTTTTTGTTTTTTTTAGAAAAGAATGACATTTTTCTTGTGACTGTTCCATGTAATAAATTAACTTATGCATTTTAAGTTGCTTTATTTTTTCTATATACTGTGTTTATATTCTTGCCATATTCTTGCCCAACTGTTTCCTTTGGTCTTTCTCATGCTTAGGCAACTCTCCCCAGTGTGGGTGATTGCTTGATTCTCTCTCCACTGAATGTCAAACAGGTTGTAGCCAATTTTCTATAGGGAGCGGTAGGAGGTGAGATACACTGAGAGAAGTGCTGGGCGTGCTGCCTGGCTCTGCCTTCTCTCTCCTTAGATTGCTGTGCGCTGCCTGCAGAGGGTTCTCACCTCCTCACAGAGGAGGGCCCCGGATTGTTCCCTAGTTGCCAATATGCTGGGGCCTGTTATACTCCGCTTCTCTGTGGAAGGGTCAGCCGCCTTGCTCACTTCTTCCCAGCTGTTGTTTCTACTCCCTCTTAACCGGAGGAGGGAAAAAGATCAGGCTACCTGTACAGTGTGCCCGCCTCCAGATTTGGAGTGGTATTGTGGTGGTCAGTAGCAGTTTTGTGATGGTCTCTTTTCTCCTGGACAGTTTAGTGTTTTGGACCGTGACCGCCACTGTTCAGGTTTTTTTTGGAGACAGAGTCTTACTAAGTCACCCTCAGTAGAGTGCTGTGATGTCACAGCTCACAGCAACCTCAAACTCTTGGGTTTAAGCGATTCTCTTGCCTCAGCCTCTCAAGTAGCTGGGACTACAGGCACCCGCCACAACGCCTGGCTATTTTTGTTGTTGTTGCAGTTGTCATTGTTTAGCAGGCTTGGGCCGGGCTTGAACCGCCAGCCTTGGTGCATGTGGTGAGTGCTGTAACCACTGTGCTCTGGGCACCAAGTCACCAGCAGTACTTTAAGTTTATACCCCTTCTCTTGTTTGGCTCCTTTGCTTTGTTTCTCTCAGTACTGTACTGTAGTTTGTCATATTTATAAAAAAAGAAACTTTAGACAAAAGAAGCTTTATAGTTTATTTGAACATCATTTATTTGAACATTAAAGGATTTGTGAATCTGACAGGATTCTACTGGAAGAGGTTCACAGCTCCAGGGGAGAGGGCAGCACACTTTGATAGGCTGAATGTGCAAGTGAAGAAATGGCTTGATGGGCGGCACTAGATGTTTGCTGTATTTGGGGAGTTCTCTATAGAACTATGTGGCTGCTTACTCCCTGTGATTGGCTGAAGCTTGATTCAGAATTAATCAATTGCTGGAATGCCTCTAAGTTCAGTTTGGATTTGCTTATATTTGGGATATAGAAACAACTGCAGGCAAGTGGCCTTTTGCTTATGTTTCATTTAACAAGTTAGAACCAATTATCATATATAACGCAAAGTTTGGAACTCTGCGACTATGACAGATGCATAGCAAAGAGCTCCTGTTGCTCCCAACTGTTATAAATGATCTTGTAGCTATGGGGTTTACTAAGACAAATCAAATACAAGTTTTTTAGCTTTTTTTTTTTTTTTTTTTTTTTAGAGATAGTCTTTCTCTGTTGCCCAGGCTGGAGCCCGGTGGTTCTTCTTAGGCACGATCATAGCTCACTGCAGCCTTGAGCTTTTGGGCTCAAGTGGTCCTCCTGCCCAGCCTCCTGTGTAGCTGAGACTATAGGCGTGCACCACCAAGCCCAGGTTTAGAAACCAATTTTAATAATCCCACTGACAACAGGGAAGGAGGGTATATTATTATTTGGGGGAGGTTGGCCAACTTTATCTTGTTCAGTTTGCCACAAGACAGGTAAGCATGGAGGTGACGGCTGTCTCTGTTCAGGACGACGTTGGACAAATGGGCCTGTTTCCCACTTATGGAATATTTTGATAATGGACAGTCCTGTGTGTTATTAGGTTGTTTTAGACAGTTCTTTATTCCTCATCTTTCACCTTAACTGAAGAGTATCTGCAACTACGGGGTGCACATGGAATATGTGTGCTTTGTGCTTCACCAGTTTTGTTTCCCAGCTAATAAGTTTAGGGCTCTAAAGAGATTAAAGTTATGAGCTGAGTATGGTGCATGTGCCTATAGTCCCAGCTACTTGGGAGGCTGAGGAGGGAGAACTGTTTGAGCCCAGGAATTTGAATTGTAGTGAGCTATGTTATATCACTACATTTTAGCCTGGGTGAGAGAGTGAGACCCCATCTCTGGGGGAAAAAAAAAAGAGAAAGATTTAGATTGACCACATGAGTTGGTTAAAATTGCTAGCAATAAAACAGCAACTTGAAGTACTGTAAAAAAGAAAAAATGGCGACATCTTTTGGAACATTAAAAAAATCAGTTTCACATAGAGAAGATTTTTGGAATTGGTATTTACCTTGTGTCTGAAGCCCGCATGGTTAAGGAGAGGGTAAAGCCAGGTGTTGTATCCTAAACCTGGGTCCTATAATAGGAAGCAATCTGAAGTTAATGCAGTTTTTTCCCTGACCCCAAATTAATATTTTCTCATTATAGAAAATCTGATAAATTCTGAAAAGAATAAAGAAGAAAAAGTCAACCACAATCTCACCAACTACAGATAGTATTTAGGATTTAAAAAACTATTTACTTCCAGTTTTATTTTGTGTACATATTTTTATAGTGTTGAACTTGATGCAGTTTTTACCTTTGTTTTTACCGGAGTTTCTTAGTAGTGGCAATATTGAGCTTGAGGCAGGACTAATTCCTTGTCATGGAGGACTGTCCTGTGTCTCGTAGGAGGTTTCGTAGCAGCCCTGCCTCTGCTCACTGCAGTTCAGTAGCATCCCCCAACCCCTAAGTTGTGACAGCTAGAAATGTCTCCAGGACTTTGCAGAAAGCCTTTTGGGGGCAAACTACTTCAAGTGTAGAACTGCTATTTTATACTTAATTTATAATGTAAACACTTCCTCATATTGTTCTAAATTTTATAAGCGTGGTTTTTAGTGGCTGTATAATATTTCATTGTGTATATTATATTGAGTCTTACATCTAGGAATGGCTGTCTTTAGTACCCATAGCTTTGCAAAATCATTCTGTGACTAGGCAGATATTTTATAATCTACTGGTGGAGTATTCTTTTTTTTTTTTTTTTTTTAGACAGAGTCTCACTCTTTTGCCCTGAGTAGAGTACTGTAGTGTCATGGTGCACAGCAACCTCAAACTCTTGTGCTCAAGTGAATTCTTGCCTCAGCCTCCCAAGTAACTGAGGCTACAGGTACCCACCACAATGCCTGGCTAGTTTTTCTATTTTTAGTAGAAATGGAGTTTCTTGCTCAGGCTTGTCTCAACTCCTGAGCTCAGGCAATCCACTCTGAGAGTGGGAGTATTCTTTTTGATTATGGTAAAAAAAATATATAGAATTTACCATCATAAGCACTTTTAGTGTAATTTAGTAATGTTTGTTATAGTCACATTGTTGTGTGATAGCTTTCTATTTTGATAGAAATATTTACTAGTGCAATGCATGAAGTAATGATTTCTGTTGTTTTATTTTTATTTTTGTTTATTTATTTTTTAGACAGAGTCTTACTATGTCACCCTTGGTAGAGTGCTGTAGCGTCACAGCTCACAGCAACTTCAAACTCCTGGGCTTTAGCGATTCTCTTGCCTCAGCCTCCCAAAGAGCTGGGACTACAGGTACCCATAATGCCTGGCTATTTTTTTTTTTTTTTTGGTTGTTGTCGCAGTTGTCATTGTTGTAGCTGGCCCCAGCCAGGGTTGAACCTGCCACCCTTGGTGCATGTGGCCAGTGCTATAACCACTGTGCTACAGGTGCTGAGCCTGTTTTTTTTTATTTTTTTATTAAAGAACTTTATCCCAGGCTCGGTGCCTGTGGCTCAAGTGGCTAAAGCACCAGCCACATACACCTAAGGTGGCGGGTTCGAATTCAGCCCTGGCCCGCCAAACAACAATATTGGCCACAACCAAAAAAAAAAAAATAGCTGGGCATTGTGGCGGGCGCCTGTGGTCCCATCTGCTTGGGAGGCTGAGGCGGGAGACTCGCTTGAGCCCAGGAGTTGGAGGTTGCTGTGAGCAGTGAAGCCATGGCACTCTACCCAGGGAGACAGCTTGGGGCTCTGTCTCAAAAAGAAAAGAACTTTATCCTTAGGATATACTTGTTTTTGTTATAGAACACAAGACATAGTTTTGTAAAGGCATTAAGCTGGGGGCAAACCTGTAGTCCCAGCTACTTGGGAGGCTCCGGCAGAACCCCAGGAGTTTGAGGCTGCTGTGGGCTATGCTTGCACCTGCAGATAGTCACTGCATTCAAGCCTGAATAGCATAGTGAGCCCCATCTCTTTTTAAAGAAGTATTGCCAAAAGTGTGAGATTGTATTATAAATTAAGTACAAACTTTATGTAATACATTTTTATAAAATATTTTGTGTAATATTTTAGATACCACTGTTTGGAATCATGTCATCGGATTCTGCAGATCCTTTCTACTGGATGAGAGTTATTCTTGCATCCAACAGAGGTACCCACTTTTCCTTTTGCCTTTGTACTACTACTCACAAGTACATGTAAAAATACGGATTAAAAATTATCTTTCAATGTCTACAGGGAGGGGAAGGATATGAAAAAAGGCCATTGCCTGGCAAAGAGCCCAACATGTCAATAATGGCATCGCCATGTGCTTACTGTAGTAATAGACAGACATCTATCCTTTGGTTCTCAAGGACTAAAAAGCCCTGATACACAGTGTCAGAAGAGATGATGCCCAATCAGCCTTAGAATTGAAGTCCAGCGTGGGCCAGTGGGAGAGGAAAGTCTGAGCTAAGGCAAACAGCATAACGCAGCATAACAGTGGTGGTCTGGGAAATTGTGGACAGGGATGCTGGTTAGAAAAGCTGGAGAGGTAGTGGAGGCTGGATCATGCGGTTTCTTGCATTTAAGAAATAGTGCTTGAGCCGGGCATCATGGCACACATCACCTCAGGAGACTGAGCCGGGAGGACCGCTTGAGGGCAGCCTGAGCCACGTGATGGCACCCTGTCTTAAAATAAAAGGAAGGGAATAGTGCTTGCCTGTTTTGTAAACACCTCAGATAGCTGGAAGGCATTTTTTGTGTGTGTGTATATATATATATATTTTTTTTTTTGGATAGCAAATAGGCTGTAGAAGGACTGTATTTAAGGATGATAGGAAACTTTTGCAGGCCACTAGGGACCTCTCTTGTCATATATTTGCTTTTTTCTTATTTTATATCATTAGCAATGCTACAATAGAGGCTATCCCATACTTCTATAATTTTTCAAAACAATGAATTCCTACAAGTTGACTTTGGTCACAATATACTTAAATTTTTTTTACAATTTAAAACAATTTTTATTTATTTATTTTTAGAGACAGAGTTTTACTTTGTCATCCTCTGTAGAGTGCTTTACCGTCACAGCTCACAGCAACCTCCAGCTCTTGGGCTTAGGTATTCTCTTGCCTCAGCCTCCTGAGTAGCTGGGACTACAGGTACCTGCCATAATGCCTGGTTATTTTTTTTGTTGCAGTTTGGCTGGGGCCGGGTTTGAATCCACCACCCTCGGCGTATGGGCCCGGTGCCCTACTCACTGAGCCACAGGCACTGCTCTATTTTTATTTATTTTTATTTTTATTTTTTGAGACACTCACTATGTTGTCCTTGGTAGAGTGTTGTGGCGTTACAGCTCACAGCAACCTCAAACTGCCTCATCCTCCCAAGTAGCTGGGACTGCAGGCACCCGCCACAAGGCCTGGCCAATTTTCTGTTGCAGTTGTCATTGTTTAGCTGGTCCAGGCTGGGTTTGAACCCGTGACCCTCGGTGTATGTGGCTGGTGCCATAACCACTGTGCTATGGGGTGCCGAGCCTCAATTTAAAACAAAAGCTTACATTTTTGATAGATAAAGCTAAATTGTCTTCCTAAAGAGCTATGTTATTTTACACTTTCGGCATGAAAAGGACCATTTCTCTTCCAACAGGGTATACTGTTAGTGTTTTGGTCTTTGTCAATTAGGTGAACGTTGACATCTTTAATTTGTACTTCTTTAAATATTGGTGAGCTTGAACATCTTTTTTTTTTTTAATATAGGCAGTCTCCAGGTTACACACAAGATAGGTTCTGTAGGTTTGTTCTTAAGTGGAATTTGTATATAATTTTGAATAGGTACATTTACCTATTACTTGTAATAGCCTCTCTAAATGTGAATTGTACATTAGTTAGATGTTTTCAACTCAAAGACTTGCTGTAATGGCTTCTGTTAGTTCAGTGCTAGTTGTATGTAAGTCAGATGTTTGTAGTTTGGGGACTGCCTATAGAGATGTATCTTTTTTATTTCAATAGATCTGGGGGGGGTCCATGGTGAATCCTGTCACATATACTATTGGTTGTGTCTGTGTGGCAAGGTGTAGCCATTTAGCCACCAGCTGAATAGCCTATGTTGTAGCCCACAGGTGATTTTTCATCCCTCACCTCCTCCTGTCCCTTCCTTCTGAGTCTTCAGTGTCCATTGTAGCACTCTGCGTGACTTTGTGTAGCCGTAGTTTAGCTCCGACATGTGGACTTTATTTTTCTGTGCCTGAGTGGTTTCAGTTAGGATAATGGCCTCTCGTTCCAGCCAAGTTGCTGCAGGAGATAGGTCACTACTTATCACTGGGTAGTACCCTGGCGTATATAGCCCGCATTTTCTTACCCTTTAGCAGATGGCATTTAGATTGATTGCATATGTCTGGGGTTGTGAATAATGTTGTGATAAACATTCAAGTGCATCACTTTATATTTTTATTGAGTTATTTGTATTTCTTCTGTGATGTGGCTTTTCCTTACTGTGTTAAAATATTTTTGTTGTAAGTAATAGAAAATCACTGACTAATTTAAACATAAAAATGGAATTTGTTGTTAAGATATGAATTATTTTTTAAAATCCAAAGAGGAGGTAAACCGCTAGGTTTAGGATAGTGGGAACCAGGCAGCTCTCAGCCCTCAGCAGCAGGGATTTTTTTTTTTTTTTTTTGAAACAGCCTCAAGCTGTCCCCCTGGGTAGTGCTGTGACATCACAGCTCACAGCAACCTCCAACTCCTGGGCTCAAGTGAGTCTCCTGCCTCAGCCTCCCAAGTAGCTGGGACCACAGGCGCCCGCCACAACCCGCCACAATGCCTGGCTAATATTTTGGTTGCAGCTGTCGTTGCTTGGTGGGCCCAGGCTGGGTTTGAACCCACCACCTTAGGTGTATGTGGCTGGAGCCTTAGCCACTTGAGCCACAGGCACCAAGCCAGCAGCAGGGATTTTTGAGCCTCATCTTTGTGATTCAGCCCCAACAGCTCCCAGATTCCTTATTTCTCAGTTTAGAATCCAAGTTACCAGTATATACCAGGCTTGATCAGGTTTGGTTAGAGTTCCAGGGTTACACAGTGGAGATTTTGGTGCTGGGTGACTGCTTCTGTATTGTAGGTATTGTATTTTCCTGAAAAAGCATCCTGAGGAACAGACACATCTCATGTCTGCTGTTCTTTTTAAAATAGGTTCGTTCACTTTTTAATTGATCTATAAGAGCTCTTTGCATATTAGAAGTATGAATTCTTGCCATTTGTGATTGAATATTTTTATTTTAACTGCCGTGCTTCCTTTTGCATAACTTTCACAACGTAAGGAAATTTCATAGTTCTGAATAATCGTATCTCCCAACATTTTCTTTTTTGTCGTCCTTAGAAAAACTTCCTCTTTTTCCATGATAATAGGCTGCTTACCCATATTTCCCTCTAGTTCTGTTGTTGTTTATCCTTTATGTCTAAATTTCCTAAACATGCAGCGTGTATTTTGATTTAATTCATGAGATAAGGAATCCAGGTTTAATTTTCTAAAAATGGCCAATTATTTGCCAGCATCCATGTGTTTTTCTTTTTGCTGTTGATCTGAAGTGCCACACTTTTTAAAAGTTTCATTGAAGGTGATTTGGATCTATTTCTTTTTTGTTGTTGTTGCAGTTTGGCCAGGGCTGGGTTTGAACCTGCCACCCTCGATTTGTGGGGCCCACACCCTACCCACTGAGCCATAGGTGTTACCCTGGATCTATTTCTGAACTAGATCTGTTGGGTGGTAATAAATTCTGGTATTCTGACTCAAGGAAAAAAAAAAACCTTTCTAAGGACTTCCTTTAACAATAAAAATGTTGGCTCAGTGCCCGTAGTTCAGTGGTTAGGGTGCCAGCCACATACACCGAGGCTGGCAGGTTTGAACCTGGCCTGGGCCTGCTAAACAACAGTGACACTGTAGCAACAACAAAAATAGCCAGGCGTTGTTGTGGTGGGTGCCTAGTCCCAGCTAATTGGGAGGCTAAGGCAAGAGAATTGCTTAAGCCTAAGAGTTTGAGGTTGCTGTGAGCTGTGATGTGATGGCACTTTACCGGGGCAACATAGTGAGACTCTAAAATAAAATAAAATAAAAAATTTTGCATGGATATGTGGCACACTCCCTCCGGGTAGGACAGACACACCTGTAGTATGATTTTACCTGTCATGTGTAAATTACATAACCTAATATTTGTACCCTCGTATTAATTTGGAATTTAAAAGATGAGAAAAAAACAATAAAAATTATTTTTATCTTTTGTTATTAAAGATCTGAGAAGATGTCAGGAATCCCCTAGGGTGGAATATTTCCTCTTGTTAAGTGAAACTTTTCAGTATTTCTAAAAGCTTTGTGGGAGTGATGTGGCAGTGATCCACAAGGGTGTCATCTGGACCATGTGGGCCACTTAGTTCTATACCTTCCTTTACAAAATTGACTGACTTAGTTTTCTTACTTTTCACTATAAATACAATACATATTTTCTGTAATGAAAAACTTGGAAAGTAGAGGAGAACAAAGTCATCCATAATACCACCGGGTAAAAAATAAAGGCAAACCAGAGGACTGAAGTAATAGGAAGCTCTTACTCCACTCAAACAGCAGGTGAAATCAAGCTGTAGGTACCCTTTTTAAATTTGTTTTTTGCTACCTACTGTGTCACAAACATTTTTAATGTTACTTAATATTCTGCAACATAGTTTTAGATGTCTTTCGAAGTAATTTTAGATTTTGCATTAGAAATTACAAAATATTGGCTGGGCATGGTGGTGCTCAGGCAATCCACCTGCCTGGAAGCTGAGGAGTGTGTTAATAAATGAGAGCTCTTTTTAGCGATTTATGTTTAAGGAATGAAATTTTGCTTAATAAACATTTAAGCACGTGTCTTAATAGAGGTAATTTGGGACTGGGACACTTGTAAATTAATCCGTATTGTCTACAGTAAAAATTGTTTGCTTCTTTCCCCTTCCTTTATAGGAACTTTAATGGAATTGGGTATCTCCCCAATTGTAACATCTGGTTTGATTATGCAGTTGTTAGCTGGAGCCAAAATCATCGAAGTTGGAGATACACCCAAAGACAGAGCTTTATTCAATGGAGCCCAGAAACGTGAGCATTACTATAATTAAAGAGCTCTTTCCAAATTTGAGACTGTTTGTGGTAATGGTGTTTTCTATGGTCCTTTTTGCCTTTGATTTAAGCATGTGCTCCTCTTCCCCTGATTTTTATCAGTATTTGGTATGATCATCACCATTGGGCAAGCCATTGTGTATGTGATGACGGGGATGTACGGGGACCCGGCAGAGATGGGCGCTGGCATCTGTCTCCTTATCATTATTCAGGTAAGAAATTTTCTTTTTTTTTTTTAATTTTTGAGATCATTAGAAACCTTTTCATTTCTCTTTTACTAACATGTAATTTTGTTTAAGATCAATGGTTTCAAAAGCAACAATGAATTAAACCCAAATAAAATTCTCTAAACCAGTCTATCAACCAGCCAACAAAAAACAAACCGAGCCTTCTGGAAAGAACTCCAACAAGCATGATCTAATCTAATATCACCCTTTGACTTAAATCACGAGCTAACATAGGAAGAATTAAAACTTCTCACACAACCGCCACTGCTCGCTCCTACTTTAGCATCTGATCTTTGACCAGACCAGAAATCTCTGAACTAAAAGGGAAGGGAATTAGAAGGTTGAGGTTTGGCCACTTACTAAGCATCCAGTAATGCTCAGATACCATACAGGGCTCAACCAAGTGTACACTTGTCAAGGGGCTATGATGAGGACTTTCTGCAGCTCCAGTGTGAATAAATACATGATGAAGGGTAGTGGTGGTTGTAGAAATCTCTTGAAAGCGCTTGGTCTTCACAGGTCCATCCTGTGTCTGAGAGGTGAGAGGCCCATGGTATGAAGTATCTTGCCTCTGGCTCCCAAAGTCCTATTTTCATATGCAGATAACAAAACAGTTTGATCCCTTTTTTCTTTTCTAATAATTCTTTAGGATAGCGATTGATAGATTTCTTACTTTTTTCATTTTCTTTTAAATTATTTGATTACAATATTTTGATTACTGAAGTGCTATGTATAAATTGTGTTGATTTAAAAAATAAAATTTATTCCATATCATAGCCTCGTAGCGACACAATATCGAGAATTATGGATCACCTGTATTTCATCGGTTCTAAGATGCACATTTTTCACATTTTGATGTCCCAGTTAATGGTTTCTTGTACCTGCTGTCAGCCAGCTGTCAGTTGTGACAGCTGTTGTTGCTTGTGCATGTGTGTTGGTTTGGTGACGGCTGTTCATGTCACTATTACATCAGTGGGGCATGTGCACTGTTGACGAAATAGATGTTTGAGTTTATTTGCTATCTCAATTGTCTTCAAAAAATCTGTTGTGATTTGTTATTGAAATGAAAGTTACTGTGTATACAGAAAGGTGCAGAATAGCAAGTTAGATGATAAATACCTCTGCCTAAGTTAAAGTACCTTTTGTTATAAGTAGAAAATGAAATGTCTTTGTAATAAGGTATTATGTCATGGGTTAATTGGCAGTGTTCTTTTTTTTTCCTTAGTGGTACACAAAGTAATGGTGTTTTAAATAATATCTCAGAGTCAGTGAAGGACTATATATACTCACATAATTATGTTCCATGGATTTTTAAAATGGTTGCTTCTGAATGGAATTTTTAAAGACCAGCATAATTATCACTGTACTATGTATCTTAAAGTGTGTAAAGTTTAGAAGATAATTCTCTATTGTACAGTCCTTAAAAATTAGTCCTTAGACAAATTATCCAAGAATAAATTGCAGTTAAGTTACATGATACTTATATTTATTGTGTTTTGAAAAGAAGTTCATTTAAGTTAACCTGCAATGAATATTTGGGAGTCCTGGTTATCTTGGAAAATATGAGTAAATTTGTCTACTCTGTGAAACTAAAGTTAGTTTAGGGAATTTTTTTCTAATGGTTCAGAAGATCAAGCTCACAAAAACATTTTTAAATAACCCCAAATACCCGTTTATATATTATTGAGAAATATGGCTGGCTGAGACTGACGTAGTTGACCATTCTTTTTTTTTTTTCTTTTTTTGGTAAGAAACCTTATATAGGAAGCCAATTAAAAGATTGTTTGGTGAGCATAATTCATAACAAGGAGAGTTACCTTGTCCAAGCGTTTCTTATCATCATTGACAATAAGGATGGTTTTTCTGATGAGATGGAAGGACTTTATTATTTGACTGGGAATTTCTAGTGGATTATCAGGGTCTTTGGTAGCTTTCAGAGCCTGGTATATTCCCTTCTGGTAGCAGATACATTTCCTTAAGGAATAACAGTGTCTTTATTTCTCCATTTACAAATGACTTAATAGGCAAATTTTTAGCTCTTGGAATTTAGAGGAAGAAGAGGTGCGATGCATGGGGAGAGAAACTCCTCCGGAGATTGACTTTGGTGTCTATTTGCTCAGGATTGCTTCATGCTCTTTTTTGGATTGTTGAGGGTATTAGTAGGACAGTTTTTACCTTACGTTTTATTTATAGCATTTCCTTTATGTAACCTATAGTTTAGAATGACCATGATTTATTTTATTTTATTTTACTTTATTTTAATGAGGTAGGGTCTTGTTCTATTTCCTGGGTAGAGTGCAGTGGTATCATCATAGCTCACAGCAATCTCAAACTCCTGAAATGAAGCAATCCTCCTGCCTCAGCCTCCTAGGTAGCTAAGACTATAGGCATGTGCCCCAGTGCCTCACTAAGTTTTCATTCATTCATTCATTCATTCTGATTTACTTATTTTGAGATAGAGTCTTCGTCTGTTGCCCCAGACTAGAGTACCATGGTGTCAGCATAGCTCACAGCAACCTCAAACTCTCAGGGTTCAAGTGATCCTCCTGCCTCAGCCTTCTGAGAAGCTGAGACCACAGGTGCCTGCCATAATGTCCAGCTGACTTTTTTATTTTTAGTAGAGATGAGATCTTACTCTTGCTGAGATCAGTCTCAAACTCCTGAATTTAAGCGATTCTCCCACTTTGGCCTCTCCAAGTGCTAGGATTATAGGCGTGAGCCACGGTGCCCAGCCAAGTTTTTATTTGTGTTGCCCAAGCTGGTCTCTAACTCCTGGCCCCAAGAAATACTCTCATCTCATGCTTCCAAAGCACTAGAATTACAGATAAGAGCCACTGCACCCAGCCAACCCTGATTTTTTTTTGCAGTTTTTGGCTGGGGCCAGGTTTGAACCTGCCGCCCCACCATGTGGGGTCGGCGCCCTACTCCTTGAACCTCAGGCTCTGCCCTACCAACCCTGATTTTTAAAAGACACTCAGAAGTGGCACTTAGTGCATTATACATTAGTAAAATTTCTGTGGTATCTTAGAAAGGATTTAGTTAGACTCCTAGGAAACCACAGCTGAGTAATTCTTGGTTAATTAGATAAAGGATTGACTTCAGTTATGTATTTAAATTGGTATTAAATGGAGGCAAGCTATTTTGGTGTTTATTTTCAGTATTCAGAGATCCAAGAATGGAACAAGGGAAGTGCCTACTTACTGACTTGTTTACACAAATTCTGGTGTATAAGTACTTGTTTTGCGGTTAACTTTTCTACTGTTAATGTATAAAGAAATGTGCTATATTTGATCCCAGGTGGGTAGTGACCCATTTGTGTCTTTCCAAGATACTGTTAACATTGAAACTGTGGATATACTGAAGAGCTGGGATTGGATCAGTGTGTTTTCACATAGGTTTTGAAAACCGTGGAAGCTATTTCTCACCTTATTTGTTCTTGTTTCAACTAGTGAGTTTTGCAATCTAAATAGCAAGTCTTGACTAAAATTTTCAAAACTAATAGAAAATATCATTGTGCATGGCATGTACCGATGGTCGGTATGTTGTGTCACACTGAGTTGTGGGTATGTGCATGCACAGGGTTGAAGTGTGAAGTGGTATTTTCATGATCCAGTGTGATCATGCAGTTAGCGTCCTCTCATCACGGTGCTGTCACTGAGGTGCTGCGACCACTTCCTGCGTTCTCATCCCTTCTCAGACATGTGTGGTATGTGCTGTGATATGTGAATCGATTTCCTTAGATTATGGAAACCTTTTCTCATTTTTCTTTAATTTCTTTCTTCCTTTGGAAGAGCGTAAGAGTTTGATTTCCACAGAACATACATGAGTGAGTCATCTATGGCCATACCACCCTGAACGTGCCTGATCTTGTCTGCTCTTGGAGGCTGATCAGGGTTGGGCCTGGGCACGCTTGGCTGGGAGAACATACACGAGCCCTTCTGCAGTAGCTGGGCGCTGTTCTGGAGGGGGGTCTGGAGAATAACAGTTGTTTGGGGTTGCTGTGTGATTTTGGACAGGTCATTGATCCAGAGCCCTCAATAGTGCTTTTTGGTTCATGGACAGCTATTATTCCTGGCATGAGGATGGGTTTCTACATTATGAGTGGGGGTCTTCACTTACTCATTACATCACTGTGGCCAAACAAAATCTGGTAGTAAGTCCTAACTACTTCTCACTTTGTCAGAATGTCATACTTGGTTTTTGCATAATAAAGAATTAGCATCATCACTGTTAGAAATTTTGAGAAGTGTACCTTTTTTCCAGTTCATTGAAAGTCATACAAAAGACTGTAAGCACACGAGTTAGGCTTTTTACAACCTTTGAAATGGCAATGGAGGGAAAAAACAACACTGTTAAGGTAAGTATGCTTAAAATGGTCCCAGGCTGTCAGTTCCAGCACTGGTCCAACAGTGATACTGGGTGAAGTGAAGAGATAGGGTGAGCTGCTTCACAGCAGGAAGAATGGAAGTGATCTGCTCACTTCTGCAGAAGGATGTCCTCACATGGGGACATGTGTGGGATTAGGGGCATAGAAGCATAGTTTTTTCCCTCTTGATTAGGTTACTCAAGTGCTGGGAAGGGGTCATATGGCTGAGGAGGTCACTGGCAAGGCTGGGATTGTTTTTAATTGATGCATACTTTTTCTAAGGAAAAGAAAGTTAGCAATGCTCAGTGTCACATCAATTAAAGCTAGTATGCTTTCATTTTTAAAAAAATATTAGGAGCTTAAAAATTTAGTGAACTCTTAACTGTTCAGATTTACATTTTGTCTTTGTCACTGTATATATAAAATGTATTTTACACTGTTATTTGGTACATATTAATTTGTGACTTCTGTATGCATGGTACAGACAGGGTGGCAGAAAAGTATATACATTTTAAGAAACCATATTACAATTATAATACTCAGCCACATACAGTGGCTCATGCCTGTAATCCTAGCACCCTGGGAGGCCAAGGAGGGTGGATTGCTTAAGCTCAGGAGTTCAAGACTACCCTGAGCAAAAATGAGACCCCACCTCTACTAAAAATAGAAAAATTAGCTTAGGCATAGGCTCACTTGAGCCCAGAGTATGAAGTTGCTGTGAGCTATGATGATGCCACAGTACTCTCCCCAGGACGACAGAGTGAGACTCAGTCTCAGAAAAAATTGTAATACTCAGTATATACCAATAACATTGTTATCTTCTGTATTGTGTCTTGTATTTCTTGTAATTGTGGAAATCAAACATGATTTGAGTATTAAAAATGCCTTTCTTGGCTCGGTGCCTATGGCTCAAGTGGCTAAGGCGCCAGCCACGTACACCTAAGCAGGCGGGGTTTGAATGCAGCCCAGGCCGCCAAACAACAAGGATGGCTGCAACAAAAAATAGCTGGGTGTTGTAGCGGGCGCCTGTAGTCCCAGCTACTTGGGAGGCAGAGGCAGGAGAATCGCTTGAGCCCAGGAGTGGGAGGTTGCTGTGAGCTGTGACGCCATGGCATTCTACCCAGGAGGACAGCTTGAGGCTCTCTCTCAAAAAATAAAAATAAAAAATGCCTTTCTTAAAATGTGTATACATTTTTGGCACCCTCTGTATGATACATAAAATATTATCTGTATGATCCTTTTTGAGAAGTATCGACGTAGCCCTCAGGCCTCCCCTTTGATGGCAGTGTACAATTCCAGTCTTGTTAATGTACCATTACTCATTTGGCCTTTTAGTCACTTGGAGGTATGTGGGATGTTTTCAGTTTCTTGCTGTCATAAATTCTATAACTGTGATTATTTTTGTTTTAGTGTGCTTTTCAAGAAGGCTTTATTTAAACATTATAAGGGCAACTATTCAGATGATGTTCTTTAAGATGTCTGCTTTATAACGTAATGATCTTTCCAATCCTGTGATTTTCTGAACTGGCTTCTGACTAAACTTAAAGTGGGTCAAAAGAAGCAAGCAGTCATAATAGTGACGTTGCAACTTTGGGGTCTCAGTATTAAGAACGCCCATACTTTGGAAGTAGCCAGTGGTGCTCATCCCCTTCCCTGAGTTTGTTCTTGCTTCTGCTTACTTGCATTTCTTTCCCCACAGTTGTTTGTTGCTGGTTTGATTGTGCTGCTGTTAGATGAGCTGCTACAGAAGGGTTACGGCTTGGGGTCTGGTATTTCCCTCTTTATTGCCACCAACATCTGTGAGACCATTGTCTGGAAGGCCTTTAGTCCCACTACCATTAACACTGGCAGAGGTACATTGCACAGTGACTGCAACTGCACGAGTTTTGCTGGATGTGTGCTGAGAACAACCCACCGTGTAGCAGTACATGCCTGGAGCCACTCTGGTTTGCTCTCCTGGGGATCACGAGTGCTAATTGTTCCAAACCTAACGAGCAGAGATTTGTAGAGTATGCGCTACAACTACAGAAAGAACAGTATCTAAATTTTAGTCTCTGCTCATGGAAAGATTTTTAGAATTTTGTTTGTTAACCTTGCTTAAGCCACTGCAGCCATTTATTTGGCTGATTTAAGCATTCCCGGAGGAATAAAAAGGTAGTGAATTAAGATTTTTCAAATGGGGCTTGGCGCCCTAGTACAGTGGTTACAGTGCCAGCCACATACACCAAGGCTGATGGGTTCAAACCTGGCCCAGGCCTGCTAAACAACAATGACAACTGCAAAAAAAGTAGCCAGCTGTTGTGGTAGGTGCCTATAGTCCCAGCTACTTGGGAGGCTGAGGCAAGAGAATCACTTAAGCCCAAGAGTTTGAGGTTGCTATGAGTGGTGATGCCATGGCACTCTACCAAGGGTGACATAGTGGGACTCTGTCTCAAAAAAAAAAAAAGATTATTCAAATGAAGAAAAAAAAAGTTGTTGATTGTACCTGCAGGGAACACTAATACCTCTCTACTTTTCTAATTGGCTTTGTGATGGCACTAAAGTTTTGAAATAGTTCATTCTGTCTTTCCCCGCCCAGCTCTACATCATGGGCCATGCTATTCCAAGTGGTTAGTGTCTAAACTCTGATCCCAGCCTCAAGAAAGTAGGCACGATAGTTCATTAACGTTCTTGGAACAATAAACTTAATGGCAAGCTTTGATAGAGTAATATATATATTTTGATTCTGATACCTTTTTCCTGCTTTGCTGCTGCTTTTTATTTTTCCTACAAATACTCTCTTCCTTTCCCTAACGTAAAGGAGAGGCAATGCAATATTTGCTTTGGTAAATTCTACTCTGTATGTTTTCATCAAGCATTGGCTTTTGAGAAAACTTCAGATTTATGCTAAAAGAAAAGATAAGTTTGCCTCAGTGATGTAAATATTTTTAGAATCTGCTCACATGGCTATATCGTGAAGCAAACATTGGCGAATTCTTTTGACTTACATTCTCTGCTGTATACTGGAGTTTCGAGGTTATTTGTTTTGACCTTTGGGATGACTTTGGACAATGGGTCTACAGTTCCTCTGTCTCGTTTCCCAGGTACTGAGTTTGAAGGTGCTGTCATAGCTCTGTTTCATTTGTTGGCCACCAGGACAGACAAAGTTCGAGCTTTACGGGAAGCTTTTTATCGGCAGAACTTACCCAATCTCATGAACCTCATTGCTACAGTTTTTGTGTTTGCTGTTGTTATATATTTTCAGGTAAGTATATAATGCTTTCACTGAAGTAAGTGGGATATTTTTATTTTGCTCTTAAAGAGAATGCTATTTGAAATGTTACTGTCTAGTAAGAGTTTTAAGATTTATTCAACCAAATAATTCCATAATTAGTCTCCAGACTCTTAATTTTAAGGTGTAAAATATTGGGGATATGAAATAGGAAAGGATTTTAAAGTCTCTGTACTTTTCATACTTCCCTGTTGTGATTTGTTTTCCCTTTCTGGCGTGTATTCTTATCTTGATATTTCTCTTAATTTTGTTTTTTAGGGATTTCGTGTTGACTTGCCTATTAAGTCAGCCCGCTATCGAGGACAGTATAGCAGCTATCCCATCAAACTCTTCTACACCTCGAACATTCCCATTATTCTCCAGTCTGCGTTAGTTTCAAACCTGTATGTTATTTCCCAGATGCTGTCTGTTCGATTTAGTGGCAACTTTTTAGTAAATTTACTAGGACAGTGGGCTGTGAGTATTATTTTTATTTATATTAAGTATTTAAAATATGTCATAATTTGCATTTCATGGTAGTATTTTTAATGAAATTAGACAGACATTTGAATAGTTACTATATAACATTTTCAGATTCACTGACCTATAGGAAAGTTTATTATTCATCTGGAAGAACTGGTAAGTGTAAAACTAAGATTGGCCAAGCATTTTTTATTTTCTATTGTCTAGGAAGAGTGTGTGCACGTCTCATCTGAATGACCTGTTAGGCTAAAATCACAGTTGCTTGTTTTTTTTTTTTTTGAGATAGAGCCTCAAGCTGTCCCCTTGGGTAGAGTGCTATGGCATCACAGCTCACAGCAACCTCCAACTTTTGGGCTCAAGCGAATCTCCTGCCTCAGCCTCCCAAGTAGCTGGGAC